TTTCTAACAAATTAGACTTTTTTTACAATAACATTTCTAGAAGTATGAAGGATTAAAACTGTATTTTTGTTAAAGATTAAAAATAGTAGAAAGATGGTCATTAGAAACTGGATGTGATGAACTATCCTTGCTGACTTACAGGTATCTTAAGACATAAAACACAGGACAAAATCACATTTTGAACACATGTTCAAATATGTTTGCTACAATAAAGTCACTGAATATAATTTGGATATGCTTTTTCTGGTTGTTGGTGTTCAGTTTTATATTCTAAATTACGCAGCTGATAACGTCTGGTTTTTATTTATTTTAATAAATCCACCAATAATTCTTATTAAAGAAATTTTAAGTCTTGGTAATTTACACCAAGTGAAAGTTAATACTATTCTCAATGGAAAATGATCTTTGTTTTAACAACAAAGCTCTTGATGCAAGTTAGACAAAGCATTTTAAGTTTGTCATTTATGGAATCAAAACAGGACTAGCTGCATCTTTGTTTTAATCTACCAAAAAAGTCCTGGCATACAGGACTTACATACAACATCTTAGCCTTTATCAATCAAAACTATGTAACATTCTCAGGGTGACTTAGTTTCATAGGATTTTTAGAATAAATTTCACCCCTTTTTTTTTTTTTAACACATTGTAAGAGAATCACTACATTGGAACAGATGAGGACTAAGAATTTGTGACTATACCTCAGAATATTTTTTTCAGAGTAAGACGTTATGGTTCCTGAGGTAAACTGTTAACACCCTTGAGCTTATGTGCAAACTGATGAATTATTCATTTGTTTTAGTTTAGATGACTGCTACTTTATTCTGACAAATGGCCAAACCCTTCTGGAAGTGTCTTGGTATCTATTTGAAATGTGTCTCCCACTCAGCCATTTCTACTGTACAGTCTCAAAGTGTATTCTTACTTTGTAGAAACAAGGACACTTGTTTGTAAGAGGTATTTGAGATGTGCTCTGTGTCATACTGTAACAACTTCTGATCAGACTGTGTATCACACTGGAACTACAAGCTACATAACTGAAAAACTTCACCTGCTCAAATTCCTGGTTTCCTAGGCTTTTCATGCTTTTCAATATAAACACATGCAGTTTTGAGTACACTTATTTATTCTCTCAACAGTCTGCATATTCTTACATTACCATAATAATAATAATCTTACATTACATACAGACATCTGTATGTTCTTTATCTGCAGAAGAAATTGAAGATCAGCATATTCCACAGCATTCAAGGTACCCATTCCTTAGATGTCTACACAATAGCACAACCTGTGAGTGACAACGCCTCTTCCCGAACTTCTCTATTAGTGGAAGGACAGAAAAAGAGGGAGAATGAAGAAGTTAGCTGGGAACAGCTAGTTCTGTGAAGCTGCAGTAACTTCCACTGACAACACATTTGGTTTTAAACACCTTTTGTTCCATTGCAATTAAAAACAGAGTCAAATTTCAGAAAGCACACTCTGATCAGTACATCCTGATCAGTACATACATCTTTCTTCTGTAACAGCTGCTCTGAAATTCCTCTCAGAATTGAGGCATTGCACTATAAAAATACAGTCCTACTATAGAACTGTATTTCTATACTGGGGGCTCAACTCTTTTCCTGCCTAAAATCCAGAAGGGAGTATGATCAAAAATGGTGTAGCATTACACTATCCCATATGGATTTCAACCCATTGACTGCACTTTAAAAAATAATCTGAATTATGCCTTAGTCCAAGCAAATTATTACTAAAATAAAACTGCTCAATAACCCTGATCTCTGCTGTGTCAGGAAACAGTCATAAAGCCTTCCCACTACCATAAAAAAGAAACCACATGCAGAGCAAACCAACTAGAAACGCCTTATCGGGAACCATGACCAACTTTGAAAAGCACTGCTCCTAAACATGCTATGGATAAAAAGCTTGATAAATGCATTTTAAGTCAGCCTTTTTAAATACAGCATATTTTCATGACTTGGAAACGTTAACTGATTGAGATTTTGCTCCTAGCTTCCTCTATGTCAAGGCAGCTTCTTTGCAAGAACTCCAGAGACAGAGCTGGAAATGGTTTTCTCGCACCTATGCCACTGAACTTTTAATATTCCTGTTCTTCAGAGTCCAAAAAACATAAATTTTTGCAAAAACTACAGGCACTGATATAGCTAATGACTGGTAATTAAGTTACTCTTTCACCAGTCTCTTCTTCCTCATTCATAGCCTGTGAGTGCACTCTCTCACGGGCTATGAATTATTTGAGAATGAGCTGCTTTCAGCCTCTTATTGTACCTTCTACACTTTTGTCAAAGTGAAATAGTCAAGGATTTAAAGTTTACAACCCTGGCATTACTCTTTGACCCACAGGCTCTTAGTTATTAATATGAAGTGTAATAACTTCAAGAGACATCGACACGGTAGGATAGCCAGTATCTTGGTAGGGTTTCCTTTTTGCTTGATTTGGAACAGAAACTTATCCTTTCATTTTCCCCAATTCTAAATGCATACTAGCCATCATGCTGTTCAGCATGCTGCAGATTGATCTCTTTTGCTCCCTAAGGTTTTATGTAGAATTTAAATGATGAAGCTGCTAATTGCATACATGGAAACAAAAATTGCAATCCAGCAAATGCTACAGTGTTCCCATGCTATGATCCTGGACCCTGTTTTAGTTACTAAGAAGTGACTACATTTAACATCAAACTTCCTCCAAATTCAATAGGTAGTAGCATCATGAAGCCAAATACCAAATTTTCCAAACCACGCTTCCTCCCAGTTAAGCCCCTTAATAGCTACATGTTTGACGATGGCTGCATTTTACTGAGAGATTTCAACCACAGACAATACACTTACAAGACCATGGGGGCTGGCGAAGCCTCCATAACATTATAATTCCCTACATATACTAAATTTAGAATATTTAAAATAATCTGAAGGAATATCTAAGCTAGTAGAGAGAGCTTCCTCATATAAGGCTAGAAAAAGCAGTTTGCCTGGATACTTTGCATGAAGAAATGAGAGGAATGGAGAACTGGAAGAGAACAGAGGCTCAGATTGCTGAGGGACAAGACTGTCCTCAGACAGTGGCGGACCTGCAGGCTTTCCTCCATTTTCTGCTGTGCTCTGACAGAAGCAGCCTCCTGACAGAACAGAGATGGAATGGAGCCTTATTACAACTGCAGTGAAAACTAAGTGTGTGGCTCCCACTATTGCACATAAATCCTCTTGTAGCTTTTCCTAGAGCAGTGGCCTAGGCTAACAACTTTCATCTCAGGACAAAGACTGATCAACCAGTGCAGAGCATCTATAAGGAAACATACCTGCTGTCCACTCATCAAGTCACAAAAGGCAAGCTCATCTGCCTGGATGAGCAAGCGAAAGTATTTCACAATTTTGTTCTATGTTAAGATGTAAATACTTCAGAGAACACAAGTTATGAAATTCCAGAAATTCTCCAATTGAATGTGTTAGGAACAATGGTAAAGAAAAAATATTTAGGAATTAATCAATAATCATCAATTTATGCTCATTTTCATTTTACTGTTTCTTGCATAAAGTTTTTGAATTTACTCTTGACTTTGTACCTTCTTATTTTTACTACCTAGTTATCTCCACATGATGGATGCAAAAATATTTCCATCAGGACATTTAATGAAAAACATTTCTTCCAAGCAAGGCACAAAATCTAGATTTATTTATGTAATTTGATTAATCCCAATTTTTGTTTTACATTAAGTACAAAAACCAACTTGAACGTAGGTGTAAATACAATTTCCACAAAGTAGTTCAATGAGATTTAAAATCAGTTATGTATCCAGAACTGTAAAGCACAATTAAAAGCAGCCCAGGATATACAGATTGCTTACCATAACTGCTGAAAGAGCTCATAATGTATGAATATATTTAACAACCTCCAGTAATAAGTTATCTCCTTTCTAATCTTTCATTTGAAACACATTTAGCAATTCTGTATCTAACAAAGGAAGCATTAAAGAATGAGAAGTGCACATAAGTTTTACTAAAGTTATCTGAGGACTAAATGAAACACATACACAATCAAAAATTAAATAACAGAACAATGACTTAAATATTTTGGTTGAACATTTCTAAGAACATAAATGCTAAGATAATACAGAAAAATAGCAACAGGTTCAAAGACTTATGGTGTACTGTAGCTGCCTGAAATATTTTAACAATTATAGAAAATCATATTTCCAAGTTTGGTACGTTCGTATTCTCTAGATGACATACATTTAAGACAACCATCCATGAACTTATTTACAAATAGAAGCTTATTCATTTTAAATTCTGTATAAAAAAATCAGTTTTGGCACTACCCATAAGGCAATGGATGATATGTACCTAAGATAGCAAATCACATAATGAAAGCATAACCAGAAGAAAATCATATTCTTTAACTTACTATTTAAAGAAACTGTGAGACTTTAATTATAATTAAAGAGGAAATTAAAGAATCAGCATTTGCAAGGCAGTAAAACACCCTATCCAAAATACTGAAGATTCTTTTTATATGCAACAGGAAATTGCTTTAATCTGTGAAGCCACTGTGCCATGTCTTGTGGGAGAACCTGATAGTTCTATGGTTATTAAATTATCAAACTAGTTTTATTACCAGAAAATAGCAAGAAGTTTAAGGAGCACATGATTTTACTTCTTAAGTAAGCAGAAAAAAAAAAAATTACTCTGAAGTCTAGCCTTTGTTAACAGTCTATAAAAAAAACACCCCAAAGATAATTTTGCCATTCACTCGACTTAGTAAAGACCACAGTTTCAAACTTTTTTCCATTGATATGAATGGTTTTAACAACTTCCTTTTTGCATTTCCATTAGCTTCAATGATAGTTGAACCTTAAAATTCAATTTCTCAGTGTTGCCACATTTGCACTGCAAAGACTGCAAGCCCAGATTTCATAAACTGTGGATTTAATTTACATTTAAAAAATAATCTCCGCATTTATCTTAAATTTATAAAAAGATTTTTTTCAAAACTTAAGGCAAAAAACAAGTTTTATTGGTTATGTTTCTTTAAATCTGAGCAGGTGTATGAGGCTGTTTAAATATCAAAAAAGCTAATGCCATATACAGTATTACCAACAAAAGTAAAGAATAAGGCAGCATGCACCCTTAAGATGAAAAGAAAATTTAATTTTACAAGATGTTTAAATAATCCAAAGGCAGAAAGTGTTTGTCTCCTCTAAGAGTATCTTCATAAAACATGGAAATTTTAGAGGACATCAAGTTACTAAAATATTCCGTTCAACGTTTATACAAATACATTACTACAATTATAAGTTTACATACAATCAATTGACATCTCAGTGTTAACTAATTACTTAAATTTACAAGACAAACATAAATAAAGCTGTTAAAACAGGCAAGTACAGTACTGATCTATCATTCAGCACAATATATTTTGTATTTCTTTCACCTTGAAAAGAATCAGATTAGAATTGTGCGAAGTTGTTCTCCAAACCTAGAAATAAAATAAAAGGGAATTAAGTATATCTATGCAGGTTTTACACAGCACGGGCGTACTCCAAATACCTACGTCCTGTTTTCAGGCATGTAATTTACCGTTTAACAACCTTTGTCTGTTCTCAGAAGAGGCCACAGTCTTTAAGGTTATTTTTAATAATGACATCAGTTACAGCATCGAAAACAAACTGCACATTTTTTGTGTCTGTGGCACACGTGAAGTGAGTGTAGATTTCCTTCGTGTCTTTTCTCTTGTTCAGATCTTCAAACTGACATTGGATATAAGCAGCTGCTTCTTCGTAAGTGTTTGATCCTAGAAGGAGAAAATTGCTCACTAAGCTGGTTTCAAACTGAGAAAGAACAAGATGCATACTATATCTCTGAAGGAAGGGGTTCTCTGGAAATAGTTAACCTAAACCTGAAAAGGAGTAACTCCACAGCCACTGCTTTAAGACACCATAAATAAATCTTGAAGGAAACCTTTTGGACACATTTTTAAGAATAAAAACTATGGACTCGATTCAATTCCCGCTGCAGGAAGAGTCTTTCCATTTACTTCAGTGGCAGACGAGCAAGTCATTAATCATAGAATAGTTTCGGTTGGAAGGCACCTTTAAACATCATCTAGTCCAAGCCCCCTGCAATGAGCAGGGACATCTTCAACTAGATCAGGTTGCTCAGAGCCCCATCAAACCTGACCTTGAATGTTTCCAGGGATGCGGCATCTATCACCTCTCTGGGCAACCAGTGTTTCACCACCCTCATCGTAAAAAAAAGTCTTCCTTATATCTAGTCTAAATCTACCCTTCTTCAGTTTAAAACCATTACTCCTTGTCCTATCGCAACAGGCCCTACTAAAAAGTTTGTCCCCATCTTTCCTATTAAGCCCCCTTTAAGTACTGAAAGGCCACAATAAGGTCTCCCCAGAGCCTTCTCTTCTCCAGGCTGAACAACCCCAACTCTTGCAGCCTTTCCTCATAAGAGAGGTGTTCCATCCCCCTGATCGTTTTTGTGGCCCTCCTTTGGACCCGCTCCAACAGGTCCATGATTTTCCTGTGCTGAGGGCTCCAGAGCTGGATGCAGTACTGCAGGTGGGGTCTCACCAGAGCGGAGTAGAGGGGCAGAATGACCTCCCTCGACCTGCTGGCCACGCTTCTTTTGATGCAGCCCAGGATACAGTTGGCCTTCTGGGCTGCGAGCATCACTGTTCCCTAGATTAAGATGTTTTGTTTCCTTCATTCAAGTTATTCACTTTCAATTTTTATGGTTTTTACAAGTTTTGGGTTTTTCCCCAACTCAATTAAAGACATTTGGCATACATATTTCTCCTAAGCTTTTTAGCTCCAACGTGCTACTTTCTGTACAATGGAATAGCCTGAAGTTACAAGGAAAATGATACATAAAAAGGCTAAGACTTGCTAATGAAATCATCCCCTTTTGCTACACATTTCCTGAATAAGCCACCTACTTCTGACATGTATCTACACTCCCTGTTCAAATAAACACTCATGTATCCTCAAGGATTCCTGCTAGTGAACAAAATTACATCTAAGTTCAAAAATAGGAGAACATCAGAAAAAAGAATGGGCTAAATAAATTAGGCTGAAAAGAGTTGCAGCAGTAACATGTAAATGCTATCAGTGGACCAGCATTATTTCACCTGGTTAAAAAGATGAATCTGACTTAGCACTATTTTATTTGTGATCCATTAAAACAACCCCCCATCTTAAACTTTATTTCATTTAAATATTTTAGATACCTAGAGTTATTAAACTCCTCCTGATTTGTGCATCAAAAATGAGGTAATTTAAACAAAAATTACTTGACACCTGCACCCCCCTCCAATACCTGCATATTCAGGGTAGCAAATAGTGAGAGGACTCCTTTTTATTTTTTCTTCAAAAAGATCTTTCTTGTTCAGGAAGAGAATAATAGAAGTGTCTGTGAACCATTTATTGTTGCAGATACTGTCAAACAATTTCATGCTTTCATGCATCCGATTCTGTAATTGGAAAAAACACCTTGTTGTATTTTATCAGACTTCAGTGGTAAAATCAGGATACATATTTTTGATTAGTTACAAATGAACCAGGTAATGACAAAACTAAGTTTCTAGCACATAGAATCACATTTTACCACAGGGAAATACAAAGAGGCCAGGATGACTACAAAGAACACTTTCATAAGTAGGGTTTAAGCAACTACTTTCTCTTTTTTTTTTTTTTTTCCCCCTCCTCATTTCCAGGCTTAAGCTGTTAAATATTTTAGAAATTTTTGGTGTGTTTTGACATGTTGCAGTACAGATATTCTACAAGAGTTGCTGAGTTACCTGAAGTTGTCTTATACTGATTAGATCTTCTGGAAATTGAAAATTAAATTCTGCACCTAGCTGAGATTCCAGCATAAGAAAAAAAAAAAATAGTTCTATAGAACTAGAGAATCAAATGAGCAGGGTTTTTTCCCTCTTATCCTAATTTTTAACTCTGTAGAAAAATTATCCAACATGTAAGTACTTTGGCCAACCTCCAGTCATTTAAGTAGCAGGATGCTAGCTATGACCTTCTTTGACTACATTTGACTTGAAAGGTTTTTTTGTTTCTCTTTCCTCCCCAAGCTCTATTTTATAAGAAGTTGCAGAACATGAAGAACAGCACAGAAGTTTGTTAATGGTTCACACACACACTAGATAAGCATCACTTTACATCACTCAGATAGTAAAAAGCACGCACTCTGTGCATACTGATATGGGAGGAGTCACACCTTGAAAGAGGAGAAAGGAGTAGAGGGGGTTGGAAGGGAGAAGGAAGAGAAAAATTTCTGCAACTAAGGAAAGAGGTCAGGGAAACACATTTAGAAGGAAACAAAAACTGAAGACTGAGAAAGGAGAGGAAAACAAAACATGCGGTAAAGTAGAAACAGATACGTCAAGCAATTTCTTATTATATACTTCTAGCATCCATAAAGAGACTAAAATGTGTATTATTGACAATCTATCCTCATTAATTTATGCATCCTTTAAAACATAAAAGGGTGTAGCTGAAAAGAATAGCTGTCTCATAGTATTCCTTCTGAGAATATGAGGAAATACTCTGAAACCTGAAAGCATGAATTCTATCACTAATTCTCTGAGACCTTTTACACAAAATCCATACATCTTATAAAGCAGTAATACTCTAAAAGATGTATTTATAGCTTTTCCTTGCAAACTTATTTAGTTTCCAACAACTACTCCTTTCTTCAACATTAAGGTACTTGCCATTTCCTCATCTTCAGCCAAGACCAAGTCATAATCACTTAATGCCACACAAAAAATAATTGCTGTGACACCCTCAAAACAATGAATCCACTTCTTCCGCTCTGATCTTTGGCCTCCAACATCAAACATTCTGCAAAACAGAAGTGCAAAGCAGGGAATGAACTCTGGAATTTCTAGCTTTCTGAATGTTAACCAATAAAATCTGAAAGTATCAGCTGTGTAAGTTAGATCACAAAATTTTTAAAAAGGCATAAAAATCTGCAACATTTATTACTATTTAATGTCTCAGTACGAAAAAAAAACACTTTTAATAAAGCCTTAAAAGTCTTCCTATACAACATTTTACAAAACATGAGTGTGAGATGAAAGCTAAACAAAACTGATTATTTACAAATAATTTGTACTATATTTCATTAACAAAGTTAGTTGTAATCTATAAAAAATAAAAATACAGAGTTAGCTTTACTAAACATAAACCAGATGAAAGTGTTATTCAACCTTTAGCCCAAATGAATAAAAAGTCTAAAATAGTAAAAGGTATTGAACAATAATCTAAGATTCTTTAAGAGCAGAGTGGTATCTGTTTTAATACTTGGAAATAATGCAATACTAAGGAAGTTGGATACAAGTAACACTGACTTGATTATTGTTGGTTTAGTATTTGGAATATAAATATATAAAATCTAATATTCAGTGGAATCTCTAAATCCTGGTGAGTTTCAACTCCTCTCTCTCCTAAACCAAATTGCAACATGATCTATTTTTCAACTGGCCATGTTTAAATGGGATTTTTTTAAGAGACACTAAAATTATTTTCAAAAATTCTTTTAAAAGACAAAATAAGCATTACATAATAAGAATAATCATTTTCTCTCTAATAAATGCATTTTTTGGAAATGCAGTTAAGTGAGAAAACTGAGCTATAAAGGTGAGTCTTGTTTCTTTTGAATTCTTAGCTTAGCAGAAACAGAGCAATAGGAAAAGACCACATTCCAGAACTTAACAGCAAATTAGCACGGTATGAATGGATTTGCTCTTCTCTGCTATCTAAATGCTTTAAATGGCCATTTACTAACTATTATGGGCTACAGCCACTCTGAAAGACAGAACTTTCATTAGACATCATTAAATAGCATCCTGATATAATGAACTGCGAATCATGGGGGGCAGGGGGGACAGGAACCAAAAACCAAGCAGACAAACAGTGGTATTCTGAAATTAAGTAATATATACATCATAGGATCTTCTCAAAGAGAGAGAACAGACTTTTTCCACCTGTCTCTTTCCTATCACAGAAAAAGAAGTTTGTTGCCTCAAATTCTTGCGATGCCTTACAGCTTCAAAAAAATGCAAATATGTCACAGTATTACTTCCCTCGCTATGTCAGTCAATATTCTATCATGCAAAAATTTAACTTTTCCTCCTACTTACAAGCAAATGCAATTATTCCTTTTAAGAGAGGCCTGACTCTTGTCTTCATGGGTTTTCATAAGTTATTTTAACTTTTTTCTACACTGTCACAAAAAAAGAGCTTAGAATTCAGCAGGTATAAAAATGTTCAAATGGGAGGAGGAAGAGAGAAGATAAAGAACAGAGGACAGACCAGTTCCTACACCTCCATCCTCTTTGCTGTAAGTAGCAGAATGGCCAGCGCTATCATGAAAGTGTTATTTGGGTAAAAACGTCATACGAACAGGAAGAGAAATCCAAACCAGAACAAAAATTGTTAAGATGCACAGTTATAATTCTTGTAAAGATATTCCAGCATGGCCTAAAATCATTCAGAATTATATTAGTAATAAGGCTATCACACTGAGGGCTTTCGGTAGACAGTAGGGCATGTAGGGTTGAACAACAACAAATCTCATTCTTTATAGGACAGAACAGAATACAAGACAGAAAAACTAACTGAGAAACTGAACAAGAAAATTGCTCCTTTTATTTTCTGTGGACACAAGCTTCTAAGGAACATGAGAAATTAAATGCTTTATACTGATGGCAATACCGTAATATCAATCTGCATGGATCTCACCTAGTTCAATAATATCTTATGGCACTGCTCAACGCAAAAATATTACTACTAAGACGGTAACTGAGAGGTATAAGAAAACATGGCACAACTTGCCATATTAATAAAAAACTGTAGTAAAAAGTATCTTTCAAAGAACAGCAAAAATATAAAGAAAATAGGTCTGCGCAAGAAGCATTGTATGATTTTGGCTTGTTCAGACTATGTTGCCAGCATGTATCCTGGGAAGGGAGGGAAAGTGTAGAAGACAGACAACTTCTAGAACATAAAAGAAGTTTAATTTCCAGTTAAGATACTGATTTTGGCCAGAAATGTTTGCTTCAATTCAGAATAGCCTCTCTGCCAGTGGTGTATTTCACCAGTGATGCTTGTCTTTTTTTTGGGGCTGTCATTCTAAGAGTGCACCTAACAAACTCCCAGTTCTTTATGCGAACCATCTTTTTGCGCTCATCTTTGAAGTTTTTATACACTAAAATCTAGTGTCAGATGAAGTCTTGGCACCACAGTTTCACAGAGAACACCTCAACAGCAAGTAATAAGAACCTGATGGATTGTTTTATGTAATGAAGCCTCTTCTCCATATGATATCAGTACAGAGAAATACAGGCATACAGAAAAAAAACCTATTTGGCACACAAAGTTCTTAAAAAACAATACAGCTGCAAGTATCTTTCAGAAAAATTAGCCATTCTGAACAGAGCGGTCTTAAAGTTCATAAGCTTTCCATCTGCCCTGTTAGAAGTCATACTGCGGCCTGTTAGGTCACAGTCCCAAAAGACTGAAACATTCATAGAAGCTGCTTAATGTGATTTCACCTTCCAATATGGGAGGGTGTGCACACAGGGTTGTGTGCAAGCCCATCTTTTAAGCACTTACCTCAGGTGCTAAAATTCATAGTACTGTCCATAGCTTGACTACTCAAAAGAACCATATTTTGCCTATGCAAGGCAAGTCAGAGTCTACAATGAACTAAAAAGAAATACAAGGCAGTGCTGAAAGAATTAAAGTTTGTGTCAGCTGAATCTAACCCCCCTTACCTGAAGAATGAAGGTATTAGAGAAATGCTTTAATGACTTTCCATTATTTAAAGCAAGCAGACTTCTCCAATGAGACTGCAAGGTGACTATGCCACATTAAGACAAATTACTTCATTGAACTAAATGTAAAGTATTAAAACACTTCTCCAGTCATCACTTTACTAAGCTATGTTACTTAGCTATATTAAATGGGTAGCTTTCTGAATGGTTTATCTGCAATTGTGCAAATTTAAGGACTTATGCAAGGTCCTTTCATTAGCACAATATGTTTCTGAAAGCTAGTGTTGCCAGATTTGCTATGTTCTGCTTCTTTCAGACTATTTAAGCAAAGAACATGATTCCAGTACCCATAAGGCCAAAAGGACACCACATATTTATTAAGATTGCTTTCACTTCTTTTTTAAGGTTATACAAGTTGTTCATTCCAGTCTCCAGCCTTGCAAAAGACTCTGAATTTGACAATTTTTTTTTTGAGGCAGGGTGAGTGTTTACAAAAATATGATACGTATGTGGGAAGTCTCACATATTACACACTTATTAAAACTGACTTTTATTTTTTATTATCCGCCTTTCCTGCCTTCCCTGGGCTGTAAGATTGCGGGGGGGGCAAATAGATAAAAAAACCCTACCAATTTAATGTTAGCGTACTACACGACTAGGTAAATTGCACTAGAAGGGATTCAATTACAGTTGTTATTTTTAGAAATCTTCAAGTGTTCTCAGTTGCTAGATTTTTATTTAAAAAACCCACATTAAAAATAAGTAGAGAAGGAAACAAATTAGAAGAAAAACAAAGACCCTTGGCCTTCTGATCAAAACCTGTCAAAAACATAACCTCTAACAAGGACTTCTACTTGGATACACTGCCGTGCAAGTGACAATGCTCGCTGCCCATTTAATGTTCTACAATGGAATAATGCCATCTTAAAAACATTTTACAAATTACTCCTGTTAGAATTTAAAAATGAAAACAGGATTCCTTATAAGTGTTCCTTACCTTCAGAGATATCTTTGAGGGGAAGTCTCCGGATACCACCCTATATAAATGCAAGTCAGCCACCTACTCCTACTTAGTTCTCAAATAATTAGTGATGGCTGTACCCATAGGAAGATATTTTGTACTTGTATACCTTAATAATTAATACCTTAAATTTTAGTTGTTACTTCTGTCAATTCTAATGCTAATGTTTTATAATTTTGTCCTAAGACCTGAATTTCCGTAAGAATTTGTTAAATTATCAGAAGAACATTTCTACAAAATAAGGTGTTCTTTGAAGACAGAAGTAGTAAATAGACTCAACTTCTGAAATAGTCTACAGAAACAGGATGAAGATGACTTGCTATTTACATTTTAGATTGAATCAATAATCAAAGCTATGCTAAGCGCTTTATAGAGAAGGCTGAAATGAGGCTCAACCTCAAAGAATCTAAACACACACAGCAAAACAGGAAAGAAAAGATAAAAGTACACAATATTGCACAGCTAGTCATGTTTATGTACCCTCACTTTGGTATAATGAAGCCTTTTATGCCTTCAGTTCATCTTAAAAGTTCATTTCAATGTTATGTAAGAGTATACTTCTTCAAGCCCTTCCAATAACTCACTAAGCCCATCTCCTAAGGCACCTGCTGTACAGGTGTTTAAATGTACAACATTAAGACAGGCCTTTGGAAGTGCCTGTAAAGTTACACATTTTATAGACGTGTAATCATATGGTCCTTATAATGGACTTTATAGGACTGTAACCATATGGTCCTTATAACAGTCCTAATAATCAGTACAGACTGGAAGTAGCCACCTGCATGCAAATTCATTGAGAGTGTAGAAGAATTTAAACCCATCTACAATAGGGAACTCAACAAGAAACATGAGAAAGTGAGTAAGAAAATGGGTAGCTCCTCAGAATACTGAAGACCTCTTGAGGCTTGGCTAAGGACTACTCTCATTAGGTTTACAAGAGATTCATTCCCATTTACCACTATTATTTTATGGATGAATACGAATTTTGTATACTTAAACTCTAAAACAAGGAAACAAAATGTATTTCCACAGTACTGATGGCCCTGAAGCACCCATATTACAGTATTTGCTATGCATTTACATGAAAAAAATATTTGCCATGAAGATACTAAACAAATGTATTGTATAGACATGCTGACAACAATCTCTGCACGGTCTAGATGCAGATGCAATGGGAGTTTTACTGAGTTTTCTTCTCATTCTTCCTGATCAGTAGGAGGTAGTATATTATTATATTTATACTATCCTATGCTTTCATCATGAATGTCTTTGGACATAACATATTCAGAATATTAACATTATTTTGTAAATCCCACACGACAGAAAATATAAGCCACATTCTTACATCGCTAAATAAAGTACTACCTTAAAGTACAACACATATTTGATTCAGTTCTTCAGGAAAATGGATTTACTGTTTCACACAACAGCAGCAAACATTTATAAGACTCCAGCTCTCCAACTTAATTTAAAGGGAAGAATCTGATAGAAGAAGAGCTATTTAACATAGCAGAAAATGGAATATTTTGAGATTTAATTTACATATAAAATATCTTTACAAAAAGTTTCCAATAAAACCAAAGCATTTATTACTTAATATCTGCATATTTATTCTGAGTTACTACAGGAGTTCCAATGACTCCCACATCCCTTCAGAAAACTGAGCATGAGGAATTTTTTTCAGAAAAGGGGGGGTGGGGTGGAAATCAAAGTTGTGGTTAGACAAATTTGTTAAATTACATCATTGGAAGTCCATCTTCTAGAACTTCACAGAAACCGTAACTGACAGATGAACATGTAAGATGGTTTACATACTTAAAATGAAGATCTTTGAAAGTAAAGTGAGTTTCCACTATTCCTGTAGTTTTCACTCTAGTCCTGAGAACATCCTGTTGAGTTGGAATGTAGCTGGTTTGTGCGATCCTATCCAAGTCATTCAAGTAACTGCAGGTAAAAATAAATACTGCTTTCAGTTATTCATAAAATAGTAACAAGATAATTACAAAGAATTACAACAGTTCTAGGTCCATTCATTATATTGTGCTTGACTTTTATAAAATAGCTTTCTCTGAGATAAGACAAAAAACAAGACACATGATTCCCCTCAATTTTCTAAGGTTTTTTTAAATAAGCTTTAGAGACACAAAGATATTTCATCCTAGAAGAAAGAAAACTTATGCAATTGACTCCACTACAAAGAATTCTTCTTTTGAAATCCCAAAATGCAAACATCGTTGCATGTACACCAATGTTATTTGCACTAACTAGAAGAATACCTTCATCTTTGTAACTTACTGAACTACAAGTTACTTTGAACTATAACCAAAGCCTAAAATTACCTTGGGTTTGATAATAGGTATGAAAAGAACAACTCAGTGTTTTGCCCAGAATTAATGTGTTTAAGAAAATGCTTAATAACATAACAATTAACTTTCTATTGAGAATTTCTAATTGCACACATTGTCTACAACAGTATACTTTCATTGCCAAAATTCTTGCGATGCAGGCCAAAAAGCCCATCATTTCTAAAAACCATACAAATCTTATTTGTGCTTTTCCCATAGTAAATAGGGAAGACATCATGTTCTTCTTTCAGTGTAACCAGAAGTTAGCAATTTTAAGGATACAACTGTAGGGCTAGAAGAACAGTTTTCTTATGAAATTGGAGGCAGAGGTATCTAAAACAACGAAATAGAACAGAGGAGGTTACCAGAGGAAAGTAAGTGATCCTCCAAATGAAGTGCTCCATATTGAAGAAAGTTTATACAAGTGCTATCTCTTAAGTCAAGAGATCTGTCATTGTGAGCTTAGCTTGTTGCCATCTACCCTCTGTACCCTTAGAACAACTTCAGCAAACAAGTAACAATCATGCTAGAAGTATCAGTGTTATTTCAATACAATTCGATCACATTTCCATTCATTCAGCATGCTTATAATTACATTACTCCAGCTGTAGTCTTCTCACAGTTACCTCACCTGCATGTTGTTTATTTATGTACAGTTTTCTAAAGAACAGAAGTACCTTATTTTAAGGAAAGTGAAAAACAACTTTAAACACTACAAATTAATTCAGAACAATAAAGCTTTAAAAAATTGCCCTCTAAGGCCAGTATCACTGCTATACCATTCTTTACCATCTTACCTCTCCCTCAATGGACTCTTTTCCTTGACTGACTTACCATTACTTCCTGCCATCACATCTTATTTCTCACTCCCTTGATTCCTTACTACTTTATTTTTTAATGAAGTACCCTAGCATAGAAGACACATCCCGACTGTTACCTATGCTCAACACATTTCTAACAGAGACTGTCAATTAACAAAGAAAATGTAGCAATGTTGAACCATAGGAGAAACTGCATCACGAACATGAAAGTAGTATCCTTGGTAATACAGATTCACATCACATAATCAAGTTTCCTGGACACGTTCAGATACTGAACAGGTACTCGAGTCACGTTTTTGTAATAAAAATGCTATTAAAGCACCTTAAAGCAATTTTTGTCTTCCTCAAGAGGATGAAACAACTGGCCAGAACATGACTCAAATTCATAATTATACCACACTTCTTCCTTTCCAACCTTGAAGCCTAACTGGAGTATTTTGACCCAAGCAGACAATATATTTGTCCAGATACTTCTAAATTTTCCATCCACATGGGAGCAGAATTCCTCAAAAGATGAGACTCCCCTTATATTCCTTTACCTACTACTTACAAAGAGAATCTTGTTTGTCACGTAGTACTTACTAGGCAGCAGAATCATTAAGCTGGTATTCTCTAGATCTGTTGAAACAAGCTTGAACTCCACTGTCCTTCCACAGTCTCTTGATAACTCCAGCAAGCTCTGCAGTCATAAATCCTTCTTCTGCTGCTCCAGCTAACACAAAGAGTTGACGAGCATCATCCTTTAGGATGTAAACAGAAAGTGGAGAGACAAACATTGAGGAAATACAACAGAAGAATTATCACCTAAGAACTATATTCAGCAAATGAGTTACTTTCTTAACCTGGTAAACATAGAATCATAGGATCATAGAATCATTAAGGTTGGAAAAGACCTCTAAGATCATCAAGTCCAACCGTTAACCCAACACCACCATGCCCACTAAGCCATGTCCCTAAGCGCCTCATCTACATGTCTTTTAAATACTTCCAGGGATGGCGACTCCACCACTTCCCTGGGCAGCCTGTTCCCAGGCCTGACCACTCTTTCAGTAAAGAATTTTTTCCTAATGTCCAGTCTAAACCTCCCTCGGCGCAACTTGAGGCCATTTCCTCTCGTCCTATTGCCCGTTCCTTGGGAGAAGAGACCAACCCCCACCTCGCTACAACCTCCTGTCAGGTAGTTGTAGAGCGCAATGAGGTCTCCCTTCAGCCTCCTCTTCTCCAGGCTAAACAGCCCCAGTTCCCTCAGCCGCTCCTCATAAGACTTGTTCTCTAGACCCTTCACCAGCTTCGTTGCCCTTCTCTGGACACGCTCCAGCACCTCAATGTCCTTCTTGTAGTGAGGGGCCCAAAACTGAACACAAGATTCGAGGTGAGGCCTCACCAGGGCCGAGTACATGATTGTAACCAAGCAAAAAAATGTGAAGGACAACAATTGGGTTTAGTGTTCTGCATAGGATATTAATTACCACATTTTTCAACAACAGAAAAAGACTAGTAAACCAAATTTTTCATTAGCTGATAAAGCTTCTTCTGATCTGTTTATAACTTGAACTAAGCTTCTATAAACAGAAGTAGTAACATATTTTGTGCTCAAGTCTAAAGTTAACCTTATTTGCTCATTAAATACCACAAGAATAGAATGAATAGAATGGTTACAATGCATCCTAGAAACCTTCAGAAATGCAGATGTATATTGATTGACTGAAGAAAACACATTAATCACTTAAGCTTCAAAAAACAACTTTCTTTGAAAGTGACAAATGATCATTTCTTCCCAAATCATGCATCAGGATATAGAAAAATACTTCGTAAAACCTTTCCAGATAAAACAGTTACAAATACCCATTACCTTAATTATTCTACAGAGACCACGTTTTCTCAGTAATGCGATATCAAGCAAACATCAAGATTTTTAAGAGAGCAAATGCTGGATTTTAAGACTATATATAATGACTGCCTTTGAGACTGAGACTAATGGAGTACAGGACATCGATCCATCAGTCTCCTTTAACAGAATTTGACCAGTTGGCTACTTTCATCCAATTTGGACTGAGGAAAGAAACTTAAAAACATTAGACCTGTAAGGCATTGGAAAAAGAAGATAGCAGGTGGGCAGAGGAAAGAGATCCACATTAGTACTCTCCTGTAGGTAGCTGCTTGACCTTGGTTATCAGCTGTATGTGATCTAATGCCAAGGTATGTCAGCCAGAAAAATCATTTGCGGCTTGTAACTACTGCCCACAGCATGTACTGTTTGTCCAACAATTAAAAGAAAGAGAACAGATGATGCTGGAAAGGAGGAAGGAGAAAAGAGAGACTTACGCACATCAGCTGGGAACTGACAGTATTTCAAGAAAGAAGATGATTTAAAAAAGCAACATATAAGGTTATTCTCACAAAACACTAAGTGAAGATACAGATGTAAATCTGCAGAAAAATCCTGTTCTGTCACCTTTGCTGTTCAAACAATAAGCTGTGAAAAACCCCAACATTTTCAGGATAAGCACAGAAAGTAGTGATTGTTCTAAAGATACTGTCCGCTGTAGACTTAAATAATCAAAGATTATGACAGCTAACAGGGAAATTGTTTACAGGTGGATTGAGTAATACTGATATTCACAGCTTGAAAACAAAAAGCTTGCAGTTCAGTCAACTCAAGGAAAACTTGAAGAGATTTATATATATCTGTACGTATACATATGTAGTTATACATATGAACAACTACAGATATATAGTTCAAAAAGTTTTTTGAAAGCTAGAGTAGTTACAAATCTAAAAATGAACATCTGTCAAACAAGTTAACAGAATACTGATTACCGTACAGGCCAAGGCAAATTGTGGACACTAATAAAAATTCAATGGATTTCGCTAATAATTGCATAAAAAAACAGACCAGTAAAGAATCAAAGGGTTGGATAGTCAGATTTCACGGACTGTAGTTTGAGCAATACGCCTGCATAAAAGAAACCTGAATGACAATTCTGGTCTTGAATATTGTTTGTGGATGCAAATGCCAAGGACCTACAACTCATAGAAGCAGCAGATCTTGAAGAAGAGCCAATATATTAAGACACATGATGGAAACAGCTTAGAAACTGACAGTCAATTTTGTCATGAATGATTACGCCATTTTATACCTGACATGGTCTGACTTTCAAACATACAAAATTTACTCTGTTTCAAATAACTCTAATCTCTACATGCTCTAAAATGGGGGAGAGGGGAAAGGGAAGCTGGAACAAAAGAATCAATTTCAACTTTTTAAAAGCCCAAACATTAAAATAAATGCGGTCTCTGTTACCCCCATACTCCCTTTTCTAAGGATGGCAAGTACTACAGACACCACAAATGAGGTAGTATGCAATGATCAAGTCCTATATTCATTATTAACCAATGCTAGATGTTTTCCTTTAATTACACTGGAATGGGGCAGCTTCCTCTCTAGGTGTCACTATTTTTATACCAGATTTCATAAATGAGATAATGTAAAGAAACTAATTTAACCACCTCTCTAGCTAATTACAGCAAATCTCATATTCAGGAAGTGGTCCATAGTCCTTTAAAGCACATTCACTAAATGTCTCTCAAAACATAGTTTCTACTTTAGTACTGAAACATCCTGTGAGACAAAGGAAGATACAGGAAGACTGACCATTACTGAAGCTGCTGGTGTAAGCTGTGCTCCCTTGATTCAATAGCTTTAAAAAAGAAAACGTTCAACTCACTGCTTTACCATTAGTCTTATGACAGAATAAGAGTATATGATTTTCCAAACAAACATATCCCATTTAGAGTAAAACCCTCAGAAATTCCCCTCAGAAATTTAAAAAAAAGTCTGAATGTAACAGTTTTCATGAGGAGTTACAATTTTGAGCTTTTTTTTTTTTTTGCCAAAAAACGACAAAAATACAATGAAATAGAATAAAATTTAAAAGGCTACACTATGATAATCGAGGAATAGCCATACTTTTTTTTTGTTTAAAGCGAGACTGATGTATAACACAAGCTCCGAATTCCTTTTTCCATTTCTGACTTAACAATTGGCAAAAATCTAGTACTGACGTTCCATAGCAGTGTTGCTCTGAAAAAAGAATTTGAACCACCAAGACCTGCCTAAGTGCAGAGGGATGGACAGCTATTTTAAGATTATCCCTGACAAAAGTTTGCCTCATGATTTATATAGCTCTCTGAAGTCGAGAAACTCAAATGACTTCAAATAGATATCATGTATAAAATAGCCCTCAAAATCTTCTTGTTAGTCATTTTATCTGCTAACATCTAAATTTACTCCTCCTCCGTTTTCTCATACTATGTATTTAGTAACATGAGTCTACCATCTGCCTCTTTCCAACATTAACTGCCAGACTCCAGAGAGGACTCCATTGAACAAATACTGAACCAACATGCGGTAAGAAACTGTTGCTGCCCTGGAAAACTTTGGTCTTAAGGGAAGACAATAGCAAACACAAGAACAAATGTAGAGAGGAATAACCAACAAAAACAAAGCTTTTACTAGTTCTGTTTACAACTGAAGAGGTTTCAGGTAGAATTAACATATATACATAAAATAATGACTATTTCAAAGAGCACAATGAAAATTAACTAATAATTCACGACTGCCAATCAGATTTAGACTTCAGATACAACTTTATGACCCACTTCACGTAACCTTATGAATGTTTGTCTTCCTTATGACAACCATACATAATGCATTTCACAAGGTCATTCAAGGTATACTGTCTAATATTTATAAATTGCTTTTTAAGCAATCAATAAGGTCTTGAACACAAGACTTTCTCATGAATGAAGAATTTACATACATTTCTTATTTTCCAACTCCTCTCCTCCCAAACTGTAATTCAACCTTAACGTGACAGAAAGAACTTAATTATGACAAAATATCCCTCTGACTACCTTACATACTTATTTCAGTATATGAACAGTGAAAAAAACTTCCTCCATTTTTCCTGCAAGACAGCCATAATGTGGCTAGTTCCTGCTTCAAAAACTGTACTGGTGAGCATACCATATTCTGACACCGATTTCTATGGAAAGAAAATAAAAGCACACATCCCAAACTAAGTTTCAATGCTATTAAGACTAACAACTTTGGTGACCAGTTTCAGCACTGCAGCACAGAGTGGATTCCTGTAACCATAAGACAAGCAAAAACATTTAAGCTAAGCATTTTACAGAGAGACTGAGAGCATCTAACCTCCTGACCAGACGTGGACGTAATCAGGGTCACCATAGGTAAGAATATAGGGTTAGGACTGGAGAAACAATAAACCAAAAGAATCAATTCTGCAGACCAGCTTCAATAAGTGGAATGGCAAATAAACCCGTCAGAGGTTTGTATGTGGGACATTAGACGAAACGAGATGGAAAAGTTGCAGAAAAGCTTAGAAAAAGGTCTCCTATTTCTTGGGAAAAATCCTTAATCCACATGTTATCATGAAAAAATGGGATACCAGCAGCAGGGCTATGCCCATGTCTCTGCTTAGAGTAAAATAAAGTCCTCCACACTGGAAATCAGTATGAAACAGGATCAAGCTCAGAGGCTGGAAATGTTTTAGGCACCACTGTACCTATGACCTAACAGAGAAGTGCAGACAGTAGCTAGATGCCTACCTATGTTAAGGAATGTAAAGATGTCTAACTTAAATGACTTACAGAACATAACAGCCCAAAGTCCATACAAATAAAGAGACATGACTTCATAGTTTCATGTTTTTCAAAAACTCCCTAAGACTCAGATGTTTAGTTCTCCAAATTTAGATACAATTTGGGGAATTGTATCTAAACAAATAGTTGTTGTGAATCAACCAAGTGCTGATTGCTCTGTAGGTCACCTTGCCATGTAAAGACCAATGGCACTTTAGTTTTCACTCAAACTTTGTATCCCACAATGAAGATTTTTGGATATCAAGATATTTTTTCAGGAAATAATAACAGACAAAAATTGTAAACGAATGGGTATTTCAGCTGTATATCTGTGTGTGTATTTCAATACTCACAGCCCTGGTTGGATCACCAAAGTCTATCTTCAACCTCCCCATTGCTCTAATGATAGCAATAATGGACTGAATGGTGTTACTGTAGACAACAGCTTTGTACTGTTTACATTCTTCTTCTGAATAACCAGCTTCATGGATAATCCTACGGAAGGAAAAAAAAAAATTCTCTATTCAAATAATAAAAAAAAAAATTCTCTATCACAGTATTTCACCATACTTACTTCATTTGTTTGACAATTGTGCTTTTCCCTGATTCACCAGCTCCTGAAAAATAAATGTGTGAAAATTCATTAGAGTAGACTTTTATTCATCTTTGAAAATACATTTAGTTTCTACATTTCAAATACCTAATCAATAAAAAAAACCTTCAATAATTAAAAGTACATTTGTTACAAATTAATTTTTAATATCAAAATGTAAGTGTCTCGAGCTGGAAGTTTCAAAATCAAGACATTTTAAGAACAAATTATTCAGCTCTAAAAAGTCTTTGCTCTTCTTTTTACAGAAGTGAGCATAATCTTTACACAGTCTGCTGGTGTTTCTAATGCAAACAGACGATCAGTTGTTCAACTTCAAAGGGGTCCGAAGCTCAATTCCTCTAATTGCCTTTTTAATCAACACCTAACCAAAAACCTCCTTCATAAATTCTTCACACTGTATTAATGGTCTTCAGTGTTGCAAATGAACATCTTCAAACTCTTCAGGGTTCTAGTCCTTGTAACCATCTTTTGGCCCTTGCAAGAATAAACCAACAGAGTCAGACTACTTTTTGTTGGAACAGATTGCATGAGGTTTGTCAGACATGCTGATACCATTCTCAATGCTTAACAAATAAAAAAAAAAAAGCATGCTATGTTAAAATACAAAGCTTACAAAAACAATTAGTATGTCTGTCAACAGACAAGAAAAAAAAAAAATGCAGTTTTTGCTGTCTCAACAACCTTAGTTTACTTTACCTCCACTTTCTTTAGTCTGCTTCTTTCTCTGAAAAATTATGGAACTCTTAGAGCTGTAATCTAATCTTTTCAGATAGCACGCTCCCGGTTTGTCTGTGACTTGTGCTGAATTCTCCCTCTTACATTTCCTCTTTCTCAATATGGTTTTGCAGAAGTGAGCATTATCTTCACACAGTCTACAGGTGTTTCTAATGCAAACAGATTACCAGTTGTCCAATTCCAATACAACCAAAGAAAACTCTCTTCTTTAGAGGTCACTGTGACCATGGGAAGCTACTGATAAAGGCTGTATTTACTGATCTTCAAAAAAGGGCAAGAAGGGGAATCTGAGACATTATGAGACAGTCACCCTCACCTTGATCCTCACACTAACTATACAGCAAATACTCCTGGAAGTCACTTCCAGGCACATGAACGAAAAGAAGGTGACTGGAAATTGTCAGCATGGATTTACAAAGTGCAAACTGCGCCTAACTTTTCATGAGGAAACAGCTGCTTTTGGGGATGAAGGACGCCAATGGATGTCATTTACTTTGACCTAATAAGGCTTCCAATGCCACCTCCCATAGCATCCTTGTACCAAATTGGATAAATATCAACTTCAAGGTGTCTGAAAATCTGCCTAGACAGCCAGACTTAAAGGCTCGTGGTCAATGGTTTAAAATCTAACTGGAAGCCAGTTAGAAGAGGCAGTCTTCAGGAGATAACACTGGGCTAATACAGTTTAACATCTTTACCAATGACCTGAAAGCCAGGATGGAATGCACCCACATCAAGTCTGCAGGTGACATCAGCCTAGGAAGCCAGGAAGTGGTCACAGTGTTGGAGAACAGTGCTGCTAATTCAGAGGATGCTCAACAAGCTAGAGGACTGAGCTGACAGGAATCTCTTGACAGTGAACAGAAACAAATGTGAAGTCCTGCAAGTGGCACAGAATAACCCATGCAACAATACAGACTTGGGACTAATGGAACAACCTTGCAGAAGACAACTGTGGGGATCAACAACCTGAAGAGTCCGCAGTGGGCCCTTGTGGCAATGAAGGTCAACCACATACTGGGCTGCTGCACTGGGTCTGGCTGGGATGGAGTTAACTGTCTTCACAGCAGCCCATATGCTGCTGTGCTTTGGATCTGTGGCTAAACCAGTGTTGATAACACACCAGTGTTTTTGCTATTGCTGAAAAGTGCATGCACAGCATCAAGGCTTTTTCTCTTTTCCACGCTGTCCCCCTAGCGAGCAGGCTTGGGGTGGACAAGAGGTTGAGAAAAGACATAGCCAGGACAACTAACCAAAGTTGACCAAAGGGATATTCCATACCACATGATGCCATGCTCAGCAGTAAAAGCTTGGGGAAAGGAGGAAGGGTGGACATGTGTGGTTATGGTGTTTGTCTTAACCTTTGTTCGTTATAACCTTTGGAAGGGTGGCTATGGTTGAAGAGTCTAGGGCACAAGTCTTATGAGGAGCGACTGAGGGAACTGGGGTTGTCTAACCTGGAGAAAAGGAGGCTGAGGGGAGACCTCTACAATACCTGAAAGGAGGTTGTAGCGAGGTGGGTGTCAGTTCCTTCTCCCAAGTAACAAGTGATAGGATGAGAGGAAATGGCCTCAAGTTGCGCCGAGGGAGGTTTAGATTGACTATTAGGAAAAATTTCTTCACTGAAAGGGTTGTCAAGCATTGGAACAGGCTGCCCAGGGAAGCGGTTGAGTCACCATCCCTGGAGGTATTTAAAAGACGTGTAGATGTGGTGCTTAGGGACATGGCTTAGTGGCAGACTTGGCAGTGTTGGGTTGACGGTTGGACTCAATGACCTTAAAGGTCTTTTCCAACCTACATGATTCTATGATTCTTCCCACAAAACCATTAGGCATGCTGAGGCCCTGCTTTCCAGGAAGTAGCCAAACATCTGCCTCCCAATGGAAGCAGTGAATTAATTCTTCTTTTTGCTTTGTGTGTGTGTGCAAGCTTTTGCTTTCCCTATCAAAACATCATTATCTTGATCCACGAGTCTTCCTGCCTTCCTTCTATTTTCCTCTTATCCCGAGGGAGAGGAGAGTGATCAAGCAGCTGTGTGGGTGTTTGGGTTGACCCCAGCCAACAGCTACCACTGCTGCACTGGCACAACTTCAGTCAACAAGTTAAAAGCTGTTATTCCCCAGCAGTTAGCATTCATGATGCTGTATTTGAGTACTGCATACTGTTCCCCTCTCAGCGCCTAGTAAATGAGATACTGATAAACTAGACAAAAAACAGTAGAAGGTCACTTAGTTGATTAGGGGGCTGATGCACATGGCATACAAAGAAAAGCTACACAGAACTGGGCTTTTTAATCCTGGAAAGACTACCGGGGAAGGGGGGCAGGTGAGGTGGGGGGTGTGTCTAATTGCTGTCCTCTCCACTTAAGACAGCTGAAGACAGCAGCAAACTTCTCAGAGGTACACAACAAAAAGATGTGAGGCAATCAAGAAGCTGCAGCACAGGCCATTTCACAGAGATATAAGGAGGGGCAGGGAACCTATCCCCATGGAAGAGGTTAAGCACTGGAACCAACTGCGCATAGAGGAAGTAGAAACTCAGCCTTGGAGATCTAAAAGATTCAACTGGACAAGGCTCTGAGCAACCTTATCTATTTTGGCGCTAGCCTGGCTTTGAGCCAAGGGTTGAGCTAGACGACCTCTAGAGGTTTCTTCCAACTTAAAATATTATTTGACATCAGTATAACAGAATATTTGACTACTGTATAGTGATGCCTTTGGGATATTCCTCCTATTAAACCAAATAAGTAGCTTCACGACAGGCTCAAGCCAATTTAAGACTGGCTGCCAAAATTTGTCCCACCTCCTCCCCAGCACTGCTACTGATGTGGCTAAACTTCCCTTCCTCCAACACACAGTAGAATGAGTGTTAGCGCCAACAGGAGCTAGTGTGCTGCAGAATTAAGTAGCTATGGAATAAAGTAGGCCTGTCAACATCAATCTAAGATTGCTTAATGCCATCTTTAGCTAATGTCTAAGTAAAAGACTTATTTTTTATAAACCTGAAAGTTTCTTTATAGAGTAGCATTAGTTCTCAGACTCTGAGCTGCCATGGAAGTTCAGTATCAGTATAATATAAACTGAAAACAGAGACACCAGTACAAAAGTGATTTGTTATTGTGCCACCTGAAGCATTTGTAAACCAAATTAACACTTAATCTGTAAATACCTCATTATGCATTTAAACACAAATGGGTAACAAAAGTTTAAAGATTAGCTTTGTTAATAAATTACTATAATTTGCTTTGGGTTAATATTTTTATTCAAATAATTTGAAGAAAGTATATGCCCCTGTATTCAACAGCAATTTTGGAGATATTAAGAAATATTACTACAGCATTTAATTTACATAACCTTGTGAAGTGCTCTTTCTGTTAAAAATTCGCCACATTTGACTAACCAAGCAGGTCAGTGTCAGGGCTAGTCACAGTATCAAAATTTAATTATTTTGTAATACACTTTCTGCTCAGTTTTTCCCGAGTCAGATATGCGTGTTACTCTATGGTGTTAGAATTCACGTGTACCAAATACCTAGAATTCTCAAAAAAGCCCTCTCAGTAACATAACCACAACACTCATAATACATATGAAAAAAAAATTAAGTCATTTATTACAGAGTATCTAACATCAAACAGTGAGTTCCTGGAAGATGCATTCCCCTATTTTATTTAATGGAAAATAGAAACAGTTGTGTTTGGTTTGGGTTTTTTCTTTAACTGCATGCTAAAATGCCTGCAGCTTGCCTAATAATCTTTGCAAAGCATGTAAGAAAATTACACCTTACTCATTGTCCCATATCGAAAGAAGATTCATTGTATTTGTATTCCTGAATGCAGAGCTCAGCCAGGTTTTCTGATGGATGCATTTGTAAAATTGCCTCCTTTATCTTAGTGTGAATACAGCAAAATGAGAACTAACTCTGTTTTAGAAAGTTTTGGAGAGGAGCAAGCAGTATTAAATATTTCATGTGACAGCTGCATATAAAATGTCAGAGCTAGCTGTACTGTCACAACCGAACCCTACCCAAATTTAGACAGACTTGATTGTACATCCCTCAATCATCTAGTAGAGGATGCTATTTATTGCCTACTACTTAAGTGTGATACTTGATTTCAGCTTCACTACTGCCAATAATTTGAACAGACAGTCTTATTGGCTCAGTTACTATTTATGTATAACATAAAAAATAATAATAAAAAGACATGACAGTTCTGCTCAGACTAGAAAAACAGCAGTGTATCAGTTCCGACTTTGAAAGAATGGTG